GCTTTTTTCTTGGGGGAATGAATATATCGGAGTTTGAAAAAACTGTTAACAGATGCTTTGGCTTTGCTTTCAGTCTGCAAGGGTTCCAAGGTTTTCAGACCTTGGGTATTCCTTGGCTTTGGGAAAACAGTTGGTGCTCTTAAACTAAAGAAAGCTGTAAATTACACAGGGTTGATCTCAAAAGATATCCTAAAATTGAGAGTACAAATGGTCTTATAGCATGCCTGTATTATTCCATGCAATTAGGTTATAACAGAGCATCTCAAGAATACAGATACAAAATCGCGTCGTCAGTGTGATGACCTTTCGGTGTGGATGGATGAATTTTTTAGAGGCAAACTGATGAGATGAGAACATGACCAGAGGTACACATCAGCTGCTTTTAGAGAATGATGAAACTTGCTAAAACTACTTTTTCCACATGGACCTGGAAGACTTTTCCCCCTTCATTTCAAGATGAGATTCTGATCATGGAAATCTAGAAGGGCTTGGCTGATGTCCAGCTTTTACCAGAAACAGCAAGAATTTATTTCAAGAATAGCATCGATTAGAGGGAAGAAATGGCACACCTCAGTTCAAACCCCAAGAGGCTTACAGGACTCTCCTGATCTTCTCCTTTCAAGAAACTGTCCTCTGCCAACCAGGCTGGCAGCCAGAAAGTTTTCACTTACTCCTTCAGAGGGAGACAGCTACTTCTTCCATGCAGGATCAGCTGATGGTAAGTTCAGTCAGTCTGATGCCAGAAAACCAACTCATGCAGAATGTACATCTGCCATGCTACAGGTACATTTACCTAGTTAATTGTATTCCCTCTTTAAGAACCATTGACTGCTCCCCTTTTTGCTAGAGAAGGTATTTGGATACATCAGTAAAACAGATGTGAAGCCAGCCTTTAGTTTCTTGAATTTATTAATCCATTAAAAGGTTCACAAATCTAAACTGAGCCAACCAAGACAATCCTGAGCTTTTCAGTAACTTCAAAGAACTGGTTGAGGGGGCAACTAATGTCTCTGCTCTACAGACATTTCTTAGGTAGCTGACTCAGTACAATATCAGTGCACTTTGGAAAAGGGAAAGCAGCACCATGCCACCTTGCAGGAACACTTTTTGCTCAACACATGCTCTGGCTGTCCATGAACACCCTCAAGAAACATGCATTGACACATCAGAGCCTACACACCAGCAACCACATCTTAAGAGCTTTACAAGGTCACACTTGGCAGCAAGAATTCGGGAGGGAGATAAGGGCTGCAGCTAATGTTAACACCATACAGCAGGCTTACAGGTCCTGAGCAAGGGGAACAGGCCAGCCTGAAAGAAAACATGTGTATCTGGTAGCAGACTGGTGAACCATAGGTTTTCAGAAAAGGAACAGAAAGAAGATCACAACAGGTTTAAATCTTCTCTCACTTACAAAACAAGTGCTAAAAGATTTTGATATCCCTGAAGTGTAGGTTCTTATTGAAGCCTTTATCTATGGACTAGGCACTCTTTAAGTCTAGAAAAATGCACAGATAAAGGAAAGTTATGGGCTTCCAATAAATTGTACAATTTCGGCATCACCCTGTCTTCGGAGTTTTTGTTTAATCATATAAGAAATTAATCACAATTGCAGATATTTCAGGTACATGCATATTTTACACTGAATTTTAAAATGGCTCTTTTTTTCAATCTCCTGCAAATTGTAGTTATAAGAGATATGCTCCTGCCAGAGACAAAAATGTTCTAGATACCACTAAATTGGTCATAAGCTTTTAGTACTAAAGAGGGAGAGATGAGCGAATAATGAGTTTTTTTTCAATATTACATTGAAAGAACAACACAATAGTCAGAGAGAAAATGAATCTGACCTCTGGCATTTTTAAGTCCTGAAAGGCTTTTGCAGGTTTGGAAAAATAATTTACTCTGTATCGATTAAAGCAGCAGCTAAACATGGATGACTGATCTCATTTTGCCAGTCTGCAGTTCACGCCAGGTAGAGAAATACAGAGGATACTCTGACACAGGAAATTCAAAGGTTGATACTATCACTACATTATTTAAAACTACAAGCTGTGAATGGTCATCGTTCAAGCTGACTCAAGTTTTATATCTAGTGTTGGGGAGATAGAGAATGCTTAATTCCAAAGGTCAAAATCACAATAGTTCTCTTAAACAAAAGCAAAATCTCCCAAGAAACCTCTCTCGGTAATAATAGCAGTACATTGTCTGAAAGAAAAGTAATCTGATTTCCAGGCACACTTGTAAGTAATCTTGTTTACTGTAATTTTGCAACAGCTTTTATAAATTTTTCATCTGAAATCAGGAAGGCTATCACTTGTATTCTGACAGGTTGAAAGAGCTGAGTAAGTAAAATACATCCCCTGTGTGGCTGGCTTTGTTGGGGAACACTTAAGAATACTTTGCCACATGAAAAAACACCAAAAAAAGGCAGCTCAGACACCATAGTAATATGTATTTTAACAACCAAATAAAACATTAAAATAGAAGGAAAGTGTCCTCTCACTTCCACTGGTTTCCAGTTTTGTTTTTTTTTTTTTAAGACAGCCTAGAACATGAACAGCCTGGTTCATGCTTCACGAATATCCATCCTAACAACGTCCAATCCCACATTCCATGTTCTAAGCTGTTCTGTGAAGCACAAGCAAGAAATCCAAACTGAGTGTTACAGTGAGTCATTTTTGAGTTTTTTCTCCACACAATAGGCTTAAGTAATTTTCAGTGAAGTCTTAACTGCTTTGTACAAAACCTAAAAGAAACTACTGTTAAGAAATATTTCCCTTAACTTCAGATTCATAGCACAGATCTGCACAGAACTATCCCACTTCACTCCATTGGGCCTTCTCCACAAAATCAGGTCTTCTGTCAAAATCACACCTGTACAAGTTGTGCAATATGAAAGATAAGGATATTAATATCAGATTTTGTGGCTCAGATACTCCTAACCATATGTCCCTTTAATATCATCAGGCACAAAAAAAATGATTAAAAGTCCACAGCTCTATAAAACATATATCCTTCATTCAGATACAGGAGAAACAGATTTAAACCTTCAGGAATACTTTAATCACAAATGCAACCAGAAACTAGACTATAATAAAACATTTTTAGGTGAAATTCTGGGCAGGGTTCCAAAGGATTTTGTCCAGCATCCTGTGGCTGGAAGTCTATATAGGCAAGCTTTCCCTCTGCCTGAAGTTACTTTCATCTGTCGACTGGAAACTTGTATGAAGCCCACCTCTTTCTCCACTCACCCAACCAGTTGTTAACTACAGGAAGATAAAGGCTCATGAAAGCAGTTTTAAAAGTATTTTTTTTTCCTCTTCCAGTATGTCTGGAGTTCCAAATGCAGACTGAACTATTAAATTCACTCTTTCTGAAGAAGTAATGCCTGGCAAGATTCAGCCAGTTCACAGTTTTGTTTCCATAACTTTCAGCAGTCCTTCCATCTGGGTCCAGTTTTATGCCACCTTCACTACTGCAAATGATTTACCTCAAGATGTGAAATTACCAAAATAACCACATGCAACTTGTAAACAAGCTGCAGACCATACCACAACTGAAAAGTACAAAATTAAGTACTAAACACTGTCAAGCCTGAATTCTGCCACCTTGACTGTTTACATATCCACAGTTAACTCTGCCCAACAGACTTCCAATTCCACTTTCCAGCAGTCCCTTCAGCCCTGATGGACAAGCACCCACATTAACATAGTAGAAAGTGATAAGTGGTCAATCCTGTATTTTGCACACAGAGCTCCAAAATGTAAACATTTGGACATTAAACAACTGAATTATGAAGCATCACCATTACTGGCCTCACTTTTACAACTGTTTTCTATTTAGTAGGAATGGTTGAACAAAAAGCTTAAAGTGCAACTAATACAAACACCAAAAGGAAATAAACCACCAATTGACTCAAAGCTTAGCTAATCCTGCAGGCAGTTCCTGCAGGTTTTAAGACAAAAGTTTGGCCAAGCAAGAAAGAAGGATAAGCAAACACTAGCCGCAGTGCCTCTAGGAGAATCCATTAGATTATACCGACCTGTTCATCTTTGCCTTTAGAGATTACTAGCTCTACTCAATAAACATTCAGCTCTCCAGAAGACCATAAAAGAAATTCTTTTTTTTTTTTTTAAAGGGAGGGGAATAGTCTGAGAACACTCAAATTTCCATTTACTTCAGAAGTATACAGTAATGCAGCCTTCCTCTAATCATCAACAGCAGGAAAACTCTGTAAAGGACCAAGAATTTTACTGCCCTCTGCAGCTTTTCCTTTGCAAGGGCAAAACGCCACCCATTTCAGAGGAGATAAACTGATACCGACTGTCACCTGCTGCTGTGACACATATTTCTTCTCGAAGCCTGGAAACCCCACACTGGGCACGCAGAAAAGACATCCGACCAACTTCACCTTCCTTAAAAACGAAGACTGTGCTGTTCCAAAAGCTTTCTTGAGAAAATGGGTCAGATGCTAGAAAGTGATATCACAGGGGATGGAGGGGGCTAGCACAAGGAGGGGCACAGCCCCTGCTTACTTGCACTAAAAATATTACTTCAGCTACAGGTACCGCCTGCATTTTTGTGCGGCGGCTAAAACCTTGCCACTACAAAGGCCACCACGGCCAAGCCACGAGTTGGAAGAGAGCGGAGCCAAGGAATTAAGTGAATTAAACTCGATGCGCTTGTTGACTCAGTTTTCGCTCCATCAGCCGCGTGGCCGCTGCTCCAGCGTCGCCTCTAAATATCGGGCAGCAAAGTTCGGGCGGGGGTTCCCCGGTCCCCGCCGCCACCTCGGCGCCTCCCGCCACCAACTTTCCGCCGCAGGAGCTGCAGCACCGGCTCTCTGCCGCCCCGTCCCGTCCTCCTCGGCTGAGAGTGCCGGGCACGGCACGGCGATGCCAGCGGGGCGACTGGAGAGGGGATGCCGGGAGGCGGCAGCGGGGATGCCCGGGAACCCGGGGATAGAGCGGGTCCCAGACCGGGAGGGCGTCTCTTACCAGCCCAGAGGCGAAGAAGACGGCGAGCAGAGCTAGGCAGGCGCCCATCACGATGAGGAGCAGGAAGACGATGAGCGGGTGCTGCTGGCTCATGCAGTAGTAGGACTCGTAGAGCCAGTCCCGGGAGCGGGACTGTTCGCCGCTCGCCCCGCAGCCGCCGCCCGCCTGCTCTGCCCTCTCTAGCAGGTAGCGACGTCTCCTCCTCATCATCATCGCTTCTTGCCACATCGGGCAGAGCCCGCGCAATTCCCTCAGAGCCGCCGCCGCCGCCGCTGCTGCAGGAGGCAGCCGGGGAGTGGAGCGGGGCGCGCTCCCGCGCGGGAGGCGGAGAGGAGGAGCCGCGGCGGCGGCATGGGCACGGTGCGCCGGGATACTGCGGCCGCCGCGCAGCCCGCCCGGGGCTTGCTGCGCCTCCGGAAGGCGCCACCCCGCACGCTCATGCCTTGCCCGGCTCCCCCGGAGGCGGGGGCGGCCGGCGCGCTCCTCCTCGCCGGGGAGGGCAGCGGGCGCTCGCCCAGAGTGAGCACTCCAGGGCGGCGGCGGCAGCAGCAGCGGGAGGTGCCTTCGAGGACGACCGTGAAAGCCGCCCCTAGCCCGCGCCTCTCCGCACCAGAGCCGGGAGATGCCCCGGGGGTTGGACCACCTGCCCCGGCCACCGCCTGCGTGGGGCCGGGAGCCCTCGCCGCCCGCAGGGGCGCGGTGCCGCCGCAGGTGCCGCTCCTGACGGCGGCCGTGGGGCGGGGAGCGCGGCGTGTGCCGCTCCCGGCCCGCCCCCGGCGGCCCCGGCCCTGCCCGGCTCCCGCGGGGACGGCGCTGCCTTCCCCAGGGTGTGCGGCAGCATCTCACGGCTCCGAAGGGAGAGACATTTGGAGATTGCTTTGAAATTGCTCCCACGGGCGGAGGGCTCTTGCAGGACTGTTTCACTGGGTACCTTTTCCGGAGGCGGAATCCCCTTTTTAGAAATCATACGTCGATTTTTGTCAAAACGAGCATTCAAGTTAGAAAGAAGCATGACACATTTTTCGCCAGCTTACCATGTTCCAAAGGGTTTGTTTAATTCTTGCCAAAGCAGAGACTGGAAAGATGCTGGACATCTAACACAATAAAGTTACATATCTGTCATGCACAGCATTTACAGACAGTTCTGCATCCCCAGCCCGTTCCTTCCCTGAATGTCCCTCCCCATAGGTTAAGTCTGTCTCTGCCCTCTCTGATCTCTCCTCCAGCTTCTGTTGTTGCTTTGTAACATCCTTAAATTCATAGAGGCTGCCAAAACGCTCCCAGGAGAGGAAGAGAACAGAGCAACACAGATGCTAATGGGCCTGAATGTCCCAAGGGTGTCTCCTGGTTATTGGAGTAACGCTAGAAACAAGAGGGACTGGGAAGTACTATGCTACTACAAAAGGTGAAAAACTGGAGCTGACATAAGTGGTCATAAATTGTCATAAATGAGAGATATAGAATAGAGGGCTGACTGTTAATCAGCTGGAAGAGAAGGCAGCTAATTAGGGTTATATAGACCAAAACTATATGGACTGTGAACTAATTTATATTTAACATCTAAATTCTGTGCCATTCATTTTTCTACCCAGAAAAAGAAGAGATGCATCCTCCTCCAATGCAAAGAAACCAATAGCACGTACAGCTCCAAAGCCCTGTCCATATATTTGCACCTCAGGTTTTTAAAAGGGATAAGACTTGAGTTTTCCTGCCCCCTGTTATCTCAACTGGCCGGATGGAAGAAAAGCTGCTTGTTTTTCACTTTCCTTCCCCTGAAGCACTTTCTGGGGCAGGAGGAACACATAAAGGAGAAGTGGAAAGTTACAACTGCACCCACTGTTTTGGGAGAGAGAGGGTGAAAAACTCTCAAAAGCAGCAGTGGTGAGATTGAAGGATGAACACAAATCTATGTGGGGAGAACATTCTGGCAGAATTAATTGCTGGGAAGGAATCAGTAGAGGTGGGTGTGAGAATTTTTGCAACATGAAAAGGCTTTACTTGCAGTCACTTCAAAAATTATGGAGTTGGCCACCCTCACTGTCACACACACATATATAGTGAGATAAGCATAGGGAGTTTAATAAAAATCAAGAGCCAAACTAGAAGTACAGCATAAAACCTCTCAGAAAAGCAGATCTCAGAATTTGGTATTTGAAGGTGTTTTGATCTCTCAAAGGTGGAAAGACCAGTGTCACATACACACTTCTTTAAAATTCAAGAATAATTCCATGATCCTGGAAGTAATCATAAAAATGCAAAATATCTGAAACAGGCAAAATGAAGTTCTCTGTTCCATGAGTATAAAAACAATCCTCGCAACAGCATTTGAAACTTAGACAGTAATACAGATGGTAGAAGTGGTTGTCTTCTTCCCCCGGCTGTTTCTGCTTTAATAGCTTTCCACTGCTTTCCACCTCCCTGAACCTAAACAGGAAAGGCCATTCCAAAGAGTTTACCATGATGATCATGTAATTTGTTTTTTATTTCAGTAAGATCTTATGCCTGTAGCAGCTAATTCCTCATTAGATTACTCTCATGCAATTTCTCAGGAAATAAAATTATAATTGCACAGCAAAAACTTAATTAACCCAAAGGTTGCCCAGTGGTGTCTCATGCCTTTCCAAAACAATGGGATAAGCGTAAGTCCCTGCTGGAAGACCAGATATAAGGTGTTTCAACAGCTGAGCAAGAGAAAATAACATGGTAACAAAAGGAAGCAAAATGATAATGTATAAAGATCACCTCCTAAGAGCGCAGGAACAGGCAATTCCTTGATGTTACAAGTCAAACGGGTGAGGCAGAAGGCCAGCTTGGCTGAACATTGGAAGTGAGATGAAAAAGGAAGGCCAGTGGAAGCAAGGGCAAGTGACATGGGAAGAAAACCGAGATGCTGCTTGTCACTGTAGGGAGAAAATTGGCGTGGCCAAAGCTCAACTGGAACAACTCCGCATAATCTACAATTCTGATTCTACAATTCTGTGATATGTTTCCATTGGAGTCCTGTGTTTTCTTGTCCAGCTGATGGACTCCCCTGCTCTACTTTTCCTCTCCAAACTAGAAACCTGCATCTTTCAATTGAAATTTCAGCTAGAAATGTCCTACACCTTAATGTCTAAAACCCTCATCAGTTCTAAGAGCAGATCTCTAGATCAAGGCAGTGGTCCAGTGGAAAAAAAAACCAAACCCACACTGTCATGTAAATAAGGACTGCAACATTCTATATATGGACAAGGCAATTGAAAACTGTGCAGTATCCAAATCTGAATTTGAACTTCTAATTTGAATGCTCTACTTTTTATTTAACATATTAACACTTCTTTTTCTCCCCACAGGATGAATTTAATTAAGCAAACATTATTGCAGTTGAATGACAATTATGTCATTGCTAAAGTTGAAATGCCATATGTTTTTAGAGACCAATTACTCTAGGTAGCTGAAAATAAGCATCCTTACTTGGCTCAACCTGAAAATTTGCTATGCCTCAGGGAAAAGGAAGGTCCAGTGAATTCTGTAATTTGTGGTTGAAAAGCAAAGGACTTTCATAAAAAAAAACTTTTCACGTATTCTACCTTATTTCTCTAAATGGGGAACAAAAGCAAAGCTAGCACTTAAGATTGTCAGAAACTATCTCCTGTGTACCCTTGGGACTCCAACAACATGAAAGAATATGTTCCTTAACCAGCTGGTGTCTAAGCATCTGTTGTACCCCTCTGGAGAAGCAAAACAATGGAGAACAAAAGGTTGAGGTCCACAGCTGCTTGTCAAAGCAACTGTGAGCCAGAGGCATTACACATTGCAGTAGCAGATTAACTTGAAAACTTTGTCCCTTCCAGCCTCAATTGTTCTGTGATTCTGTGTTATCACAGCTTACTTCCAGTGTCAGGGGATTTTAGGGAAAGATAAATAGCAGCAGGACATACAGGAGAACCTGTTGTTCCTACATTCCTCTCTTTGCCCCTTTGCCCCTCTGGCTCAATCACCATGACATCTTTCCTTCACTTTCCCTTCTCTGTTGTCTTCTGCATGAGTGTTCTGGTCAGGGATACAGCTCTACTAGCTCCCAGTAGAGACAGATCCTTTGCTCTCAGCTACTCTGTTCAGCTGTAGGACAACCTGAGCCATGGGAAATAAATTGCAGGGAAATCTGCTGAATCCCACAGTCCTGCAAGACAGCAAGCACATAAAAGAGCTTGGCAGCCATCCACCAAAGCTGTCCATTTCTGCAGCCTTGATGCTGTACTGCCAGAGCCCAGCTCCACCAGGGCACCTCACACTGAGCTGGGATTGCAGGTCAGGCTGTCCTACCAGTAAGTTTTCACATAGCCAGTGTTTCAGTGGCACTTCGGGGCTTGGATGTGGCAGCAGGGCAGCCAGACCTGCTTAGGGTTGCTCTGGAGAGCCATCTCTGCCTTAAGATCAATGCCTGATGTGACCAGGGTCTTAACAGCTTTATTTTGTCCACTACTGATGCATAACTTTTGATGTTGTTGTTGTTGTTGTTTAAGACTAAAGACTGCTATTTTTACTGAATTTTTCTGGACTAATTTTACTGAGTTCGGTTAACAGGACTTGCTCTTTCAAATCTTATAATGGCAGTCATGTGTTGCTGTTGCTCTTCAAAAAATGAGAACACAATTTCCTACAGAAATAATATGGATTTCACACACCTGGAACCAGGTGAAATTCACTTTTGTTTTAGATACAGACTTGCCTGAGTTGTTTAACATTGTTGTTTAAGGTGCTAAATAACAGTCTGACTGTTCTATAATTCCATGTGTAATTTTTCTCCCTCCCCCTTATTGAAAACAGTATCTAACTTTGGACCTTTCTCAGCCTCCATAAACTTTTAAGAATGTTTACTAAAAAGTTCTGAGGTTATTGAAGGAACTACTTGAGATTCAGATGATCTGAAAGTACCTCAATAACCTCTTTTCTTGGATTATTTCCTCACATATGGTGACTACTTTGGTCATCTAATCATAGATAACCTTTTTATTGAAGATAGAAGCAAAATATAGATCATATTTTTAAAGGTTTTGGACCATCTGTTATTAGCTGAATGGTGGGCCAACGATTTCCAGAGTCATCTTCTTTCAGAAAGCATGTGACAAACAAAAAATTATCCAGAAGTACATCAGCATCCTCTCTGCTTATACCTTGGCCTTCCTTATTTTGATCATGCTATTCTTTGCATTCAGTGTTTTAATATGACTTAGTTTCCAAATTCTATATAATACTTTTTCTGTTTCAAGGCATTAGCCTTCAATTATATATTTCCTCATTTTTCATATTGGGAGAGTTTGTATTTAGTGGTATTATATAGGAAACCACCTACTGTTCCTAGATAACCTGCTTTCAGGTGGGAGATCTAGGGAAGGTGGGAGGAAAGCAATAGAACTTCGGA